CCCTTGCTGTGAAAAATCTTTTTATAGTGACTATTATAACATGTAGAAAGATGAAAAAGATTGAGGCTTTTATGATTAGTCCCTCTTACACAAAACTTCTTGGAATAATTATATACTTGGAAGGCCCCTGAAGTTTCATGCTGAAGGTAACTTGTGCTTTCCAGCTAATTTAGGATATTATCCTTCCTGTGTCTGTTCTCTCTTACATCAGTCCATGGCAAAAATATTACATATGCTAGATATTAAACATACTTTCTCTTTTTATCATGGGGCTTTGAGGAATACCTGTCTCAATTTCACCTTTGCTAAGTGTAGATTGTTTGTTTTCAGCCATTATCTGGCATGACTGTAATGAGATCTGCAATCTGCAGACTGGTAGCTGCTACAGGGAAGGTCATACTACTTGGCGAGACCCAAGCATGCTTAGGAAGGGCAGGTGCAGATGCTTTAATTTTGTCTTTGAGATGGATAAAACTGCCACTGAGAGTAGTGTCGACAACTTGCTAAATATTCCCATATCCAGACAGAGGTGGCTTGCCTTCTGGATGATCTTTCCATAGAAATCCGTATCTGTCCCCTGTATAAGGCAGATGATTTTAGTTATCCTAGAATCATAAGGACATTGCTCTGAAGCTGCCACTGTTTGTATGAGTGTATGGAAAATGACCCTAAACCAGAAAGAAATTGCTTGGCAACACCCATCTTCCCCTACCTCAAAGCATGACAATGACAATTGCATTGAATAACTAAATCAAAATCAAAATAAAAAAATCAAATCAAAAAAATAATAAATTGAATAACTAATAACAAGTCACAACTGACAGGAGTCAGGTGTGTTCTGCACAGTGCAATCCTTATAACACACCCTTCATATCCCTAGAGCCTTGAATTGACATGCCCTAGGTATGGAGGATCATGCCTGATAATAGTTTTCAGGTGATGTTATGATAGTTGGCACATTTTCCCACGAAACTGAAGCTGGATTATTTTAATTCCATTCCTAGGTAATTAGCAAAGTCGATCTGCCATTTGCTCAGAAAAGCAGTTTGATGAGCCATGGATCTGAGCTCTTGCTCTGAGTATCTGTTCGTAGTGTTCCTGTCATGAGAAAAAGATGTTTACATTAACTGGGTTTTAGAGGTCTAACCAGGAACTTCTAATTAAACTGAGAGTTATTCTTCACACCTCTGTATTCATGGTATTCCTGTGTGACTGGATTCTATTTGAAATTCATTTTACTGGTTTATGGCAGGCTGAAGGACTCCTTGCCCTGTTAGATTCAAAATGACAGTCTATGGTTCACATATACCAGGAGTAGAGTTGACACAAAGAATTAAAAGATACAGAGTGATCAAGCTGGGCTGCATTTAGAATGGAGAAGTATTTTTTCCCTGAAAACTTGTGCATCGTATCTCCACATCCTGTAACACATCCAGAAAACATGGTTTCACCTGTTTGAGAAATGACAGTGCAAAAATAATGCACTGACTTAGTGGGACATCTTACTATCAGTAGATACTACTAATGTTCCAATTTAACATCTTCCCAGCGACCTGTACATTATAAATGACAAATCATGTTTTATTCCCTGTCGCATTGACTGCTACAGCATGTCCATGATGAGAAGTAAAATTAAGACGACAACATGTTTTCTTTGACCACTCATTTAATCTGGAACTTGTTTCTCTTTTGCAGAACTACATAGCCTGACCATGGTGATATTAAAGACCCTCTGTGAATGATCTGTGAATGATTAACAGTGATTACTTCAGTAGAGGTGACATGAGACTAGCTAGATATTGGGGTGTACTTACTGGAAAATAATCAACTGATTGTTTATGCCAAAACGCTGATGCAAGGTTTAGATTTGTTTTGTTTTTCAGCTATTTCCCGTGTAAATAAATGCACCATATCTTGGTGAGGGCTGTAGTAGCTATGAGTCAGTGCAGAAAGTAAACAGTGACTTTTGTAAGAAAAGGAAAGGCAGTCATGGGAATTCAGAATATCCATCTCTTGATTACAGGAGCAATTGGAGCATAATGAGAAAGAATGATAAAAAGAAGAACCCAATTCGACAGCTCCTCCATACAGAGCCAGGAAATGCACTGTCTGTGCAAGATGTGCCCCTGGTGTGTCTGTATTGCTTTGTGCAAAGCCCTCATATTCTTTGTTTGCTGGAAGTGAATGAGGCAGATAGTTCACAGCTCAGGGACTATAAGGTTGTCTACATTGCTGTCTTGGTGAGGAGGAGTTTCTGGTGAACTTGGAGAGGAGCTGAGAGGCTGACAGTCTCTGCAGGTTTTGGACAGTCAAGGTGATGTGCAGTTGGCTGTGATAGAGAGAAGGAAAAATCACCTCAATGAGAAGATCAGGGAGACTATATCTCTTTCTACTGGTGTCTAAATCAGTCTATTTTGAAAGCTTGCACTCAGTATATAAAAAAGCCTGGACACATTATTCTAGTACAGACTTGAAGATCTATCTCTGTTTAAAAGGATTCAGGAATATTTCAGGGTGGGTTTTTTTTGTTTGTTTGTTTGTTTGTTTGTTTGTTTGTTTGTTTGTTTGTTTTTTGTAGTGGTGCAAAGAAAGGTGCAAAGTTGTGCTGAGAGCTCTTCCTCAGCATCCTTCTATTATAATTTGTGCAGTTTCTCTTGTAGGGCTTTCTTTCTTCATCATAGAGTCATAGGATCATAAAATGGTTGGGTTGGAAGGCATCTTAAAAACTATTGAATTTTAACACCTTACCATGTACAGCAACATCTTCCACTAGACCAGATTGCTCAAAGCCCCCATCCAGCCTGGCCTTGAACACTAGCCAGGAATGGGACATCTGCAACTTCTTTGGGTAACCTGCACCAGTGCCTCAATACCCTCTCTCCATCTATATTTATCTACCTACTGCTGACTTTATCTGCCTAGAGGGTAAGAGAATGAAATTTCAGAAAGAAGTCAAATAATCTTGTCCTCACTATATACCCCACAATGAGCTTTTCCATGAATCCATGATTCTGGTTTTCCTACATGTGCTTCCCTTTTGGAATATCAGTGGAGCTCTTGCCTTTAAAAGGGGGTGGTTTGTTCTACTTTAGGTGGAGTCCCCAGCCCTGCAAATATAGGGCACAGGCACTGTTTGGGGAAAAACATGCTCTATATTTTTACTTTCTTATTTCTGCCACACAAAGGTAAGTCAGAAGTTTCCATCACTTCAAAGGGAGAGAGTTTTTCCAATTGATGTTGTCCAGACTCTACTTCCTAGGTCACAGAAGAAAGTTCCTCCATGAAGTGGAGGAAAACCCCTCACCTGATGATCTTGTAGCGGCAGAGAGAGGGAGAGGTGGAGGCATTGGAGTTCAGGGACCAGAGGAACCAGACAACACAAAACTTGCAAGCTGTTATGAAGGGCAGGCTTCTGATGTGTAATGTGGCAAAAAAAAATGAGGGGTTTCAAGGAGAGTGAATTTGTTTGCTAGAGAGATACAAGAATTCATTCTAGTGCTCCGGGGCTATATGTTTTCTGTCAAGCTGTCTGCTGGGGTGAAGGGAGCAGTATTGAATTAATTGGGCCAGTTTGTGTGTGGGAGAGCAGCACAAATTAGGACTGTGTGGGGATGCAAGTCTAGATGGTAAATCATATGTTTAGGGGGCAGAGTCAATTAGGAAACTGCACTGGAAGGGCTGGGGGATTGTCCAGTTATAAGAGTCTTTGTTGCTTTGAGGGAATGAAAATGGTGGGGTTTTTTAGATTCTCAGGAGGCAGAACAGGATGAAGTAGATAGAGCAGAAAAAGAATAGACAGAAAATGTAGCCCTAAGTCCTCTCATCTTCCTCCCTCTGAAATTTGTTCCACCTTCCCAAGATTCCTGTGCTTTTTCCACTTTTAATGAAGAGGTCATTGAAAATGGTATAAAAGATAGAAAGTGCCTTGCCTTCTTCCCAAATTCAAGGGCCAATGTCCTCCCTTCCATTTCCACACATTAGCATTGAATACACAGGTCTGATGTGTGTGTTTCTTATGTTCTTTCTTTGTATAAACATTAGTAGTGGGGAGAGAAGAGCTACAGACAAGCCACATCACCAAAGGCTTATCTTCACCTACTGAAGGAGACTCTGAAAAGTTTTATCCCCTTCTTGAGATTGCTAATTCACCCATTTCCAAATCAAACTTGTTATGCAAATTTGCATGCAGTTTTTCTCTGGGAGACTTGATGTTAGCAAATATAGATTCTGTTTGTAAATGCTCATTCATACTTATTTGTTTCTTTGTGCATCAGTACTTTGAACTTTATGACACAATATGTTATGCAGTGAATTTTGTTTTAATTGGATTTGTATAAATGTGTTCAGAAGGCCATATGACCCCATCTAAGGAACACAAGAATTACAATATTATTATAATAATCTGAGGCCTTAAGTTTTGCAATGTAAAATAAACTACGTAAAGAGAAGATTGAGGCATTAATGTTCTCTCAAAATGAAAGAGAAAAGGAAACACTGCTGTAAAATGAGAAGCAAGGAACAGCAGGTGTTTTATATTACGCTCTGATAATATTTTTCTCTCAAGTTAAGAACCCTAACAACTGGGATCTTCAATTCCTAGGAGATGTGTTTGGCAAAACTTCTAGACTTTTTAAATCCTGGTTTATATGTGCATATGCATATTTTAAAAAGGAGGGGAGGGGAAAGGAGGGGAGGGGAGGGGCAGGAAGGAAGGAAGGCAATTATCAGCCCTTCTCCAAATTTTAGTGGGCCATGAGTCTCCCTATGCAGGTGGGTGCATGCTGCTGGGCCACTCAGCCCCATCCTATGGAGGAACTGATGTCTTCCATTTGTTCCTCTCTGCGTTACATTTCCTGAGCTCATTCGCAGCTGTCTCCATTATTCACAGCTCTGAAGTGATGAGAGGAAGAAAGAAAATGTTTTATCTGTCTGTGAGAAGGGTTCAGGCGGGCGGTGGGCAGGGAGCCGTGGAGATAGTGACCCTTGCTGTTGCCTTGCAGGAATGTCAGCTCTGCTGGAGAGGAGGCCCGTAGAAGAATGAGGGAGTGTGATGGCCTGACAGATGCTTTGCTGTACGTGATCCAGTCTGCTCTGGGGAGCAGTGAAATTGATAGTAAGGTTTGTCATCTTTGTCTTTTCAGCAGCAAATACAGGTATTCAGGGTACATGGGGACTATAAATAGGCAATTTTTCATTATATTCTTTTTTTAATGCATTGTGAGGAATGTCTTAGCAAAGCATAATATAGCCAACTTTTTCCTTTTTTTTTTTTCTGTTGAGCTTTGCAGAAGTGCTCAGCAGGAAAAAAATTATTTTATTATTTTAGTGTGCTAAGCATTGTATTTGTGCCTGTGTATTGTGCACAGGTAGGCATGTCATCCTCTCTATTGAATTATTGAAGGAAAAAATGTGATACTGGTTTAAGAAGAGCAAATATATCATATTCCATGTAAAGTTCCTTACATTGCTTTGCCAGTTTTACCTTAAAATTGATTCTTAGTATCCAGTATGAGAGCTAATGAGAGTGAGGTAGGCTTAGATGGCAAACAAGCAAAAAAATTATTGGGCAGTTAATAGGCAGTTTTGCAGTAAAACCAACGTTATTTCTTCTTTGAAGAGGATCAATGAATACTTTCAATAACAACTGTGTTAAGATGCCTCATTATGTCAACTTTGCTTCTCTTAAAATGCTAGGATATGAACAAGCTTCTCCAGAGGTGAAAGGCACTCCCTAATTATAAAGACTCCAAGCATTTACAAATTGAAGATTTGTAATGCATTAAAGTATTCCAGAGAAGAAGAAAAGGGACAGTTTCTTTTGCTTTCAGTATACAGTGCTAAATTAATTACAGCTGCTGCTCTAGGGCAACCTTGGTCCATTTGGAAACCGCTAGGAATTTCAGGAGAGCAGCCTTTTATGCAGCAAGGTTTCAAAGCTCACTGGGCTTGTATTTCCAAATAATTCTTCACAGAGTTGTCTGTGGACCCCCATGGGTTTATAGATTTGAGAGGAATAATCTCCAGGAGTCTTTGGTTACCATCTGACTCAAATAGGTGAAATTTGCCTGTGAATTCTGGGGACAGAGAGACGAATTAAGAGAGGTTCATAGCATGAGGTGCTGGGCTAACAGCATGGCTTTGGTTTTTTTTTAAGAAAAGAAAAAACAATCCTCAAAACACCCAAAAAATCTCACAATCCATTACCCTGTAACCAAATTTCCATTAATAGAAGTTTAGTAGAGGGATGCTCAAAGGATACCAACCCACAAGGCAGGCACAATGCCTGACAGCAGGGTTTGGGGGAAACTTGGCTGTTGCCAGCCCCCACTACCCCACTTCCTGCAGAGCAGCCCCCAAACACAGGGGTGTTTTTAACTTCATTCGCTTCAGAGTAGCTTAAAAGTAGCTAGAGTAGAAAAACTAGTGAGCTTATACTTAGCCCCCTCATGATGAAACATAGAATAGAATAAGGAATTCAAGGATCTTGAAAGTCAAGGAGGAGTGAAGTTTGTCCAGCTGTGTGGTTAGAACCAGCTTTCTTGGCTTGTAGGAGTTCACCTTAATAGAGAAGGTGTTGATTGAATTTGAGCCTTGGAAGTTGGCTTATCAGTTTTTAGTTTAAGGTAAATTTTAGTTTAATTGTCCTCATGATGGCTCAGCTTATGTTTTCCACAAAATGAGAATTTTAAATGCAAAAACTGATTTCTTAAAAGGAAAATTAGAGTTTAGTATTCTAATCAACAAATGCAAAGCTTCAACTTCAGCATACTATACCAAAAGTGAATAAAATTCATGTTAAAAAAAAAAAAAAAAAAACTAAAGAGGCAGCAAATTTTGAAAAATAATTATGGTCACTGTAATGTTTGCAAAGTTTTCAGCTATGAAAGGTGCACTGAGAACATTTTCTAGACACAGACACACACACATACATATTTCCACATGTGTTTATATATTTGGCAGAAATTTCAAATTAGTACAAGTGTATTGCAAAATTGTGACATTTCATCTATGTTAAAAAACAGATGTATAAATTTTCCTGTATAGATGAATCTGAATTCGATGTCACCTCTGGAGCTTTGTGTCATCACAAGAATAGTGTGCTGAGTGCATACCTGGCAGAAGCTCATGCCATATGTGAAAGTAAACCAAGCCCCATCTGTTTGCCTCACTGGTGAATATGGCAGAATATGGTAGAGCTATTCCATTCCGGGTTAATGGAGCAAAAGAGCTGAAATGTAGTTACTATTGCTTTTTATCTCCATAGAGCATTAGGAACAGTTGAAATAAATAAAAATAGATAGAGAATGGCTTTTTTAACCATGCTCTTCTTGTGTGCAGAAAATTAAGCTCATAACCTTCTTATTAGGGATAGTCAAACCAAATTGAACCAACTAAATGAGTAGGTTTCACGTCTAAACTGAACTTCTTTTAGACTTGGAGAAATTAGGTTGAATTACAAGTGAATTTTCCTCCTCTGGGTCTCATCCATTTATGGATTCCTGCTTGCATCTTCTACAGAAGGCTCAACCTATTAGGAGGATAAATGGATGAAAGGGAAAGGCTGCACACAAGGTATCTGTCGGCAGCCTGGCTAGAAGCGTAAAAGCTGCAAGACAGATTTCTACTTCTACTTCTGGGACTGGAGAAACATCATCTATTTATGCCACAAGTACTTGTGAAATGGAACTCAGATCCCTATTTTATGGCAATTTACATAGAATTTTCACCAGAAAAAAAGGTTATTTCTGGTTTTAAAAGGACAAAACCCAGGATCTATTGCCATTTTTTGTTTGTAGCATTTTCTGTTCACTGAGGTGGGAGTTTCCTGACATTTGGAGTGTTCAGGTTCTCTTGATCACTTTTTACCTTGACATCTGTTTCACATGGGGCTCATGAAATTCAGAACAATAAAGAAACTCACCAAAAAGTATTGTCAAGAAGACTACTGATTTGTTACCATAAAAATTTCTGAATCTCTTAACCTATGATTAACTGGGGAGCACTCAGAAATGTGCACATAAGAAGTGTGCTGAGAAAATGCACATGCAAAGATAGATGAAATTCCTTCTGCTTTGTATTCAGAGTGAGCAAGGGGAGAATTTTAATCTTTTTCTGGTTTTGTTTTCTGTATTTTTCTTTTTGACATACTTTTCAGACCGTTGAAAACTGTGTGTGCATTTTGAGGAACCTCTCATACAGGCTAGCTGCAGAAACATCTCAGGGACAGCAGATGGGAACAGATGAACTTGATGGATTACTCTGTGGTGATGCCAATGGAAAAGATGCAGAGAGTTCAGGGTGCTGGGGGAAGAAAAAGAAGAAAAAGAAATCACAAGATCAGGTAATGAAAGTTATTTGCAGCTGTGTTGTGAGTAGTTGAAGTGCCCATAATTTAAAATATAAATAATTAATGCACTGAACTAGAAATTAAATGCATGATGCATAATATACAAAACTGTTGTCCTTGTTAATTAGCTGAGAGCGTAAAGTAGAATATGACTCTAGAGTAATAAAATATGTTTGCTTGAGAAATTGTACATTATGTGGTGCACCTGGAAACTGTACTCATGGGTACACTATGAATGCCATAAATACTGTAAAATGCTCTTTGAAAGGAGGCCATTTCTAATGAAAAGTGTAATCTGCATATACTTTACACTGTACTTCCACAGAACCACGAGGCTTTAATGCAAACAAACATCAGGCTTGTATATATACACTTATTTGCTTCAAAGTTAGTCTTGTACCTTGTCTCTACACATTGAGAGAAAGCTGTACAGGACTGAATCAAGTAATACGAGTAAATGTTAAATGTTGATATATTTAATGTTGCCAAAGAAAAATTGAAAAGCAAAGTCTTGATTGCTTCCTCAAGTTGTTTGACAGGGTATATTTTTGGGTGGGTTGATTTTTAGAGTGTATTTTTCTCCTTTTTTATTCCATTAAGAACTTATAATTTGGAGAATACTGAAAATTATATTACAGAGAAAGACACTGTTGTATCTGTACACACAGCAAATAGCAATAAGAATGGCTACTGATTTATGGGCTTTTTCAGACAGCCTGTGCTGGCAGCAGTAGTTTTCCACCTCTTCCTACACTTACTCACTTTTTTGCATTGTAGTTTATTTCTGTTTTAGATTGCTCAAAGAAAATATTTTTGAGTAAGCAATTAAGTGCACAGGGGAATAAATTATGTCAACCAGTACTGAAAAGATTCCTGAGTTCCTAAAGCCAAATTGTGTTAATGTAGAAATTTTTAGCAACATTACTAAGCTAAAACTTGGATACTGAAAAAATGCAGCACTCATTACTAGTAAGACTTCTATTTCACTTACTGTTGTGGTTAAACACCCTATCATCAGATAACTTGAATTTGTTACGGCCTTTTGTTGGGATTCTTGAGTTAGGCTACAGTGAGATTAGAAGTGTTGAAGCAAACTAATTTTACCCCATGAAGTAGTCATCATCCCTGTTACTGAATTAACAATTCTCACACACTGTGTTTTCAGTTATTCAAAGGGCAGGAGCAAAGAATAGCGTGTTTGGTGTATGCATGCATCACACTGCAACTTGGCTTGCTCTTTGATGCTCTGTTTACTAACACATGCACACACTATCTAAAGGTTTTTTTAAGTCTTCCTCTTCTATTTCTTCTGTGACTTTTGGATCAGAGAGTCATACTTTTAACTCTGTACTGTTGACTGCTTCAGTATTCCCATAGGGTCTCTCTGTACTGCGAGGGTTCCCTTAAGAACTTTTTTTGCTCCTCCAGATCAAAGATCTGAGCTCTTTTGGCCGATCGCCTTTACAATGTGCATGCTATTGCCTGCTCTTGGATATTTTTTGTCTGTTTCAATGAGTGCTCATTATCAGCATGTTGCATGGTAAAGGCCTCCTCTGAGCTGTTAGTGTTGGCCTCATGGAAGACTTTCATATACTCTTTTAAATCCAAAGAGTAATAAAACTACATGCATATTTTTGGGTTTATGATCACTAGGCTTTTCTGTGGCAAGAACATAAATTTACTCTTTCCAGAACTGATTCTGTTGTACACAGGACTGCTTTGTATTACAAGTATTAGAAACATTTTTCTAATGGTGGTTTCTTATTTCATCTAATTTCCTTTAAATCCACTTCATCTTGCCATATTCAGGGTCTCACATGTGGATATTATTCAGTTCAGGAATTTTAAAGGGCCCTTGTGAGCCTTCTGCAGGTTATTTTCACCCCATAATCCTCAACTGTTGTTGAACATTTCAAATGATTTAAAGTATATTATCAAGTTAATATATTATCAAATTAACTGGAGTGCCACTAAAAACAATAGCAGCAAGATCACTGTGCCAGAAACAGCTCTCCCAACTTACCCTCAAAAATGGAAAAGAAAAGCAATATTTTTAATGTAACCGCATTTAGATTAATAGCATAAAATAACTCAAACTGTGATAAGGGTAAATGTAACTTTTTTGTCCGTTTGTACAGGAGTATGTTCAGAGGTGCTTGTCCAGTGTGGACATAGTTGCCCAATTGTGTAAAAAGACACGTTCCTTCTGCTTCTTTGTCTTTGTGGTTCCTTTAATACTTGAGAGTTTTGTCTTTTCAGGCAAAGCCCAGGGCACAGGCACATCTCTGTCAGTTGTAACACCTCAGTACAGAGGAGTCATATCCAGCCTATGGTTGCTACATTTTACGTCTCCTGAAGATATGTATGCAGGGTATAGGGTTTTTTTCCCTTTTTTGGCAGCCTGTGGGATTTTTGGGTAAACAAAATTGCTGTTTCAGTCCTTCTCAGAATATAAAATGTACAAAACAGTGTGGGGGGAAATGGTTCAGATTTTAGTGAATGCAGTTTTGAAATTTTCCTATTACCCTATTGCTGTAACTTAGTTTCTTAATTATTGTGTGTATTTTCTTGAGCTCCATTTGTGCATTTATGAGGTAGTCTTTAATTTTTGGATAAAAGTGTTAGTAAAAAAGTAGCAAAACTATCATAGTTGCAAAAGAAAAACAGATGTATAATTTTAAACAAAGAATGGATGAAGATGCAGTTTTCTGTACTTAAAAAAATCCTCACAGAGCAGGGGAGTTTTTTTCTTAATCCATAAAACAGGAGAAGCTTGATATTAAAGTCACTTTCTCATGAATTTTCCTACAGTGAAAGTACAAGTTAATTTCTTTGTTTTATGATTTAGGGAGTATTCAAGTTTTTCTAAGTAATGTTTCAGGTGTAGTCACATGTAAATTACTTGAAAGAAAAAACAGGATTGAGTGATAGTATAAAATGTAGCTTCTTTCAATGGCCTTTCAAGAACAAACTGGAATTTATTTTTTATTAATGACATCAGTTGTCTATCAGTTGTCTATAATGGCACCTTCTGTGCATCTTGGAATCAAGTAAGAGATGTGTCTTTGTTCAGATCATATGTCTAATGGCACCTTTCAAATTGCTTTACTTAAGCAGTTCCCTTAGGATCACAGGAAACAAGTGTTCTTCACATTTCGGAATAAAGGTGGGTGGTATTAAAAGAGCACACAATCGTTTTGCCAGAGTTGAGAGAGGTTCTTGAGGCATCTCGTTTGTTGCACAAATTAAATGTTAGAAGAGGCCCAAACCTTCTGAAGGTTTGTGGTAAAGTATAGGTACAGCACTGGTTGGAAACACAGCAAGCAAAACTTCTGCTAAGGCCTCAGGAAAAAATAAGTGAAACTCACTTGGCTTCTGTCTCAAACTTCTAGGACCGTAATTCTTTGCTGTTTTGTTAGTTTTTCTCTGCTGCTTACCTGTGATCAGCTGGTATTGAACCCTCACTCCAGTAAGCTCTCCAGCTTCATTCCCTTCATCTCTGACTAGGACCTTGTAGATATCAACCTCTCTGCCATGTATTGTGCTACTCTTCAAATGGAAACAGATTCTTCCACTGCTGGAAATGTTGTTCGTGCAGCTGGCATGCTCACTGCTCACAGGTTTATACTTTGACATGTATGAGAAATTAGAATGATGACAAAAAGCAGTTAGGGCAAATCAGGTGTATGGTGCAACTTCAGTTAAAAAAAAAAAAAAAAAACCTCCAGGGAGTTGTTATTAATCCTTATTGTATTTCTTGTTACGTGGCCCATTATGTATACATGTGGTGCAATTTCACTTCTTTTCCTTTCTTCTCTAAGAGAAACAGGTTGATTTCTTGGCTTCATGCTCATCTCAAGTTCCCCTTTTGTGATCATTCTTGTCAAACCAGAATCTAGCCCAAAGTCTGTTTTTTGATTGGAAGTGACACTTCTGAAATGAGCCTGACCTTTTTCACCTTCTGTCAGAAGCCTTAAGGTGTGTAAGAGCAACATTTCAAGTTATATATCATTAAGAATTGACTGGCCCACCTCTTTATCATGCTTGCTAAATGGCCTATAAATTCTTCTATCTATGTGAAATAGAAGGTTTAAGGCAATAATATTTCAAAAAGCATAAAAAATAAATAAACCCACCAGATACGTCTTTTCATGTGGTGAGACCAGTGTTTTACCAAGTATGTTCATCTTCTACCAAGCCATACCAAGCTAATAAGCACAGAAACAGAGCATTTGTGGCAGGTCCTGAGTTTAACCAATAATGTGAACTGTAATTAAGGATGAAAGGCTGTGTTACCAATACATTCTTGCTCAGAAATAATATTATTTCCACTTGTTGCTTCCTTGTCTTGCACCAGGTGATTATGTCAAATACTGAGTAGCAAGAATCAACTGTCTTGAGCAATTCCTTACAGAGCATTTTGAAAACCATTTCTCCTTTCTTGTTTGCCAACACTGCATCTTCCCAGATACTCTGTGAGCCTCTCAGTGTCATGTACAGCCAATTCGTTTTCAAAGTCAAAACTGCAGGGTTATGAAATATAATTTGTATTTGTCAGTTTGTGGAACATACTGCAAAGCCAATTAGCTTCAGCTTTCTGTGGAGAGGAGAAGGGCATGCAATTTTAACTCCATCCCCGTTCATTTGGGAAGGGTCTGTTTTTAAGCAAAGAGGAAATGTACAAACTGAATTAATATTTTTTCTTAGGTAATATTAAGGGTAATATTAAAAAGTGGAATAAAGGCATTGACAACAGAAGTTCAATAAAGGCCTTATTTTAAGAGTGTAATGTACAATGTAAAGTACAATTTAGATTTATTAATATCTGAGATTAACTATAATGATTCAATACACTGAAATATTTGGAAAGCATTTCAAACACTTTTCCTGTAATTGTAAATGTTGTTGAATCAAACTGTGAGAGGTACCATTATTTATGCAATGAGGTCTGCTCTCTCCCACCCTGCTCCTGTAGTCTCTGTGTCAGTTAACACCTGCTTTTATATTCACCACCTTTATTTAGGCCTGAATATCTAAACTGCAGTTTGACTTGATGTAAACAGTGGTATTCTTGCCTGCTTAGTTTCAGCTGCATGGATTCTGAAATTAAGCTCTGTGACTTGGGTGATTTTTGTTGCTGAATTTCTGATTTCTACTCTTGACAGTATTGGCCAATTCACCTCTTGGACAACAGTGTCCAAAAGAGGTTATTGGACTGGCATGTCTAGGGAGAGCTGGCAGAGATTGCCACAGCCACTGAGACATGCAGGATGAGATACCAGTGTCTTCTTAGAGGACATGTTAATTTAAAAGTCTTTGGCATTTCAGAAATGGTTTTAGTAAGCACTGTGTAATTACACATATGAATTTTGTCACTGCTGCTTCAAGGAGCATAGCTACAGTGTTACCAGGCTATCCCAAATGTCTAGGATAATTGGAGAGAGGTTTAGATGGTTTTAGACGTTGCTGGGGCTTGTTTTAATTTTTTCCCGGATATTTTAGTAGTGATACTTCATACAGACTGGGGTAAAGGAAGCTTTCATATGTAATAGATTAAAATAAAACACTTTTTTTTGTTATCAGAGGAAAACGTGTTGTCATGTGATACCTATTTAAAAGCAAACCCCACCAATTTGAGGTTGTTAGTATAAATACCAAAATCTGCAGAGTATACTTCTCTTGAGTCGAAGCCTTCCCACATATTTAGCAGAATTGCACAATAAATATGGATTTACTTTCATTAAAATGAGAAAGGTGATGGTAGATAATCTATTGTGCAGCACAGGAAAGCATCTCGATGAGTGATCTTTTTCTCCTATCAAAGTTCCTTACAATTACAAAAATCTTGAAATTTTATTAGAGTACTCTTACTATTACAAGTCTGTTGTTCTTAAAAGGTCTTAGTATTTGGCTTTTTATTTTTCTTGACTTTAATCCTTTTTTTGCACCAGTCTCGGAAAATGAGACATTTGAATCTCACCCACATAACAAGCAGTTTGTCAGCTTCAACCACAATATATGTGGGTAATTTCAGCTGAAGGAGGGAAGCCTGGAAGGAATATTTGTTTATGACTTTTTTTTTTTCGTATAAGCTAGGAAGAGTAAGTGCATGTTGTTCTCTTTTTCAGAGGCTCCTACTGCAGCCTCACTCTGTTTCAAATAGACCTTCCTGATCATTCCTGATGGGCTGCAACAGTACAGTAACTCTTGCAGTAATTTACTGGGTGGAGGTGTTTACTGGGTGAGGATGCTGCCTCAGATCATTAATATTTAGCAATGCAAACTGCAAAGCAACTTCTGCCATGCTTAAACCACTATTTTAGATATTGACTCTAATACCACTTGGGGAAATTTTTTTGGGTTTTTTTTTTGGTTGGTTTTTTTGTTTTTTTTTTTTTTCTCAGGCGATTGATGTTTATGAAATACGAAATAAATAAATGAAGATCAGGCAAATCTCCTTTGCAATAGCTTCTTTGCTTTCCTGTCTCACTTCTGTATGCCCTGCAGCAGTTGGGCTGTACAGCTTCAGGCACTGGTCTCAGCTACACAAAAGACACCAGAAGCCACTAAGCCCTGCAGTAAAGAGGCTGCCACAGACTCAGCAGGTGTTGTGGTTTAACCCCAGTCAGCAACCAAACCAAACAGCCTTCACTCAGTGGGGCGGGGGCAAAGAAGAGTGAAAGCGAGAAGATGCATGGGTTGAGGTAAAAGCAGTTTAATGAGGAAAGTAAAAGCCCACATACAAGCAAAGCAAAGAAAGGAATTAATTCACGGCTTCCCATGGGCAGGCAAGAACACTACCTATCTTCAGCCATCCCCAGGAAAGCAGAGCTCCATGATAAATAACAATTATTTGGGTAAACAAGCCCCATCCCTCCAAATGTCTTCCCTTCCTTTTTCTTCCCCATAGCTTTATATTCTGAGTATGACACCATGTGGTACGGAATGTCCCCTTGGTCAGCTGGAGTCAGCTGTCCTGACTGTATTGCCTCCCAGCTCTGTGCATCCCCATTCTCCTCACTCGTGGGGTGGGATGAGGTGCAGAAAAGGCTTTGTCAGTGTTACTCAGCTGTGACTAAAACATCCCTGGGTTCTCAGTGCTGTTTCCAGCACCAATTCAAAACATGACCCCATACCAACTACTGTGAAAGTAATTACCCCAGCCAAAACCAGCACCGTATGGTGAACAGTGACACCCTCCCTTTGCAGCCACTCAGCTGTTCTGGGCACATACACCACATGTGACAAGCACTGCAGGACATTTTCCAGGGTCAATGAATTTCCTGTGCTTTCACTGCACATGCATGTGTGGTACCAAAGATTTTCATCGTTATTGCATGGACTCTGAGGCATCACAGCATCTTGGGAAGAAGGTTTTTTACTCACAGTTGATGATAAATTAATGTAATCATGCTGAAAGTGAGATGCAAGAAGGGCAAGGAAATGCAGTAATTTGTCTCCTTTTTTTTTTTTTTTTTTTTTTTTAGTGTTTTCTCATTACTGGGCAGAATGGCAAAACAACATTAAATATTAATTTATCTGCTAGATAATTTCTAGTGCTTTATATGTACCAGCACAGCATGAACATTTATATAGAGCTCTACTTATATCTACTTCGCTGATTTTCAGTACTCCTTGGGATCATACGAGGGTAAATAGCTGTACATAAAAAAAAAAGTCATACCCCCACAAAGGAATATACCCCCTCATATGGGTAGATCTGATAAATTTGATGCATTTCATGTGCTTTGTCCTTGAAATAACACACCCTGTGCAAACACTCTTTACTTGCATAATCTGTAATTGGTGTAAGTTGGAATGAGACTAGTGAAGACTTGAACCAGTGCCCTTGGACATCACAAGTCATTCGTTAGTGAACTTACTAAGGTGCAAAACCTAAACCTGGTGTGAAGTCAGATTTGATCTGTAAGATATGTCTCTCATTTGTTTTCAAAAAAAGTCTGATAGTGTGAATGATTTTATTCTGAGAGTTAAAATAAGAAGCCGACTTTAATGTAATTTTTGTGAGCTGAAAAGAACTCATTTCTAGCAAGGCTGGTGATTTATAAGGAGGAAAAAGAAGAACTGAGTCACATGCACTGAAAACAATCTATTGGTTTAACGGCAGAAATGCATTAAAAATTTCAAAGACACAGCCCCATAATAGTGTCATTTGAAGGCATTGTTTCTCCAGAAGGCATTTTTCCTCTACTTTCTCAACCATCACTGGGCATTGCCATGCCAGTTCTTTTAAACTATGATAACATTTGTCCAGTGTAGTGAGTGTCACATCTGAGCTGCTTTCTGATAACTGCTCATGTGTATGAAATGGTTCCTCTAGCTTTCCACTTTGGTGTTTGTTCTGATTTAATTTAGAAAAGAATTCCTAAAGGTATTAGTCACACAAAACCTTGTTGAAATTGGGTTAGTTGGTACTAGGAAAGACTTGATTGATTGTCCCTTAAAATATATATATTTTATTTTTACAGTTAGTGTAAATAAAATTATGGTTGATACTTTCTGAAAACAAGAGGTTCTAGGTCTTTCCCAGGGCAAGTATTATTGTACACACATAGCTAGTTAAAAATTAACTGTTGCAGATTTGAACCGAGAGTTAATTTGACGTATGCTATCAGTTTAGTAGACATTTAATGTTATGGTAGAGATTTTTTGTTTATATGGACAAAGTAACACCTCACCCAAGGTACTAAAAGGTTTACTTTCTGTTCTGTTACACAATATGGACATGTCAGAAGTGTTAAAAAAGATATTTTATTAAAAAGTTAAGGCTTGTTCCTAATAGTTGCACTAGTGCCATGAATTATTAAAATCTCTTTATCTGTACAAAACAAAACAAAATATACAATAAATACATAAGTAGATTTCCATTTAAAATTTGATTGAAAGTGCATTCCACATCTTACTTTTGTTTAAAAGTAAAAAAGAAAATCTGTTTATTTTCCTTTGAGATATTTCGTACATAGGTGCAAGTGTTGTGTGCTCCACTGAAAGGAGAATCTCTATCCTCCTGAAATAAAGTATTTATTTCTGGTAAGAGTGGGTTTTGTGCAATAACGTACCAGTTGTTCAGGTTTAAATATTTCACATCTTGGATATCAGACTTGGGTTGTTTTTCATGGCAAAACTCTATGTGATGAGAGGAACAGTGTGTTTTGTGAGGGCTGGTTCTACCAATTGCATTGGAGTCTCAGACCACACAGCTGGCTGGCTGAATACCTCCTGCACTCTCATTGTGAGAAGCCAGAAATTGTGCCATTGAGGAAGACTTGTCACACTTGTACCTTTCATGGGATGGAGGGCTTATGGCCTTGAATGATTTCATTTTCCATAGTGGCATTCTGTGTTGTTTTTCTTCTCATGGGAAGAGAGAGAATGAGGAGAACTGAGAAAGATGTGAAAAGAAAATCTCTGTTCCCCATGCAAGTTCTAAATTTGCCTCTTAAGATAACATTCACTGGGCTTCTGTTCCCACACAAAAAAATAATACATACATACATACTTTTCACAAATAGTGAAAAGTGTTTTGTTATTTCACCTAGCTAAAACATTGTGATTTCTGCCAATCTTACAGCTCGTCTGTATGGAATGCCGATAGGAAATTTGGTTCCTCCATGAACAATCACATGATATGCAAAAAATTGAGAGCATCTGCTTATGGGCAGATGCCTTCACAGATGTTATAGTTTCAACGGAGGCAATTCTCAAAAGTATTTCACTGTTCGTTGCTGACAATCTGATTTGTGCTTTCCAACAGTGGGATGGCGTAGGACCTCTCCCAGACTGTGCAGAACCACCCAAAGGAATCCAGATGCTGTGGCACCCTTCAATAGTCAAACCCTACCTCACACTTCTTTCTGAGTGCTCAAATCCAGACACGCTGGAGGGGGCAGCGGGGGCACTGCAGAACTTGGCTGCTGGGAGTTGGAAGGTAGGAATATTAACCCAATATTTCCTCTTCAGTTCTGAAACCACCCTACAGCTGACAGCAGGTTGATGATATAAATGTATCTAATTGCTTCTGGTAGTTGAATAACCTTCTGTTCTCATAGAACTATCTGAAGTCAAGTCTGAGACAGTATTTCAAGTCCTAAGTAGTCATATCATAGCAAATGTCAGCATACAGCAGTGAAGATCACATCGGTCAAGTCAAGTATGAAAAATTGCTACTGAAAACCAATATCCAAATATGGAGAATGAGGAGAAGCAGTTCTATATGAACCTGGGTGACAGTGCCGTGAAAAATGAGCCAAAAATGCCACCAGTGGCAATCAAATGAAACCATTTTGTTTTGTCACTGCAGAAACTGATTGAAATTCTGTCCCTTAGGAGAAGGCAGGGCACGGCAGAGCAAGATATAAATGATGTGACACCAACACAAGTAATCTTAGCATATAGTTTTTTTAAAAATTAGGCATTATTAAAATACATTCATAATATGATTAATTATATAGAATGAATGAGGAAATGTGCAATCAAGACACTCTACTCCAGCTAATCCTATTTTTCAATTATATTCAAAAGCACGATTTTTCTTTTATGTATTACTTGCAGTATGTCAAGTAGAAAATTTAAGAAGATGCTTGCAGATTTAGAACAGATCAATAAAATTCAACAATGAACTTTGTTTACTTATTAGGGCAACTTTCCTGATGGTAAACTGGTTTAATTGGGTGAAAGTACTAACTATGTAATCCTATGGTGTAACTATAATGCATTGCTTTTAAATTAACTCTCAACAGGAATTTTTCTCATTTACAGTAAAAGCAGTCATGTACAGGGAAATGCACTGATCAAAGTTATGTCTCAGAAGGTATCCTGTTGGGTTTTAAATAGTTGGGCATTCGTATGTGATATGTAAATACCAATTTAATTAGGCATTCATTTTGAAATATTTGCACTGACACTAAGAAATTACTTTCTTTTTCACATAAAGTTTTATTGGAAGTTGGGTTGGCACACTCGCTAGCTTTTCCAAGGCATATTATGTTTTTGGGGGTTTTTTTATAATGGTGTTACACCAGACTTATGTCATTGACTGTTACATTCAGTGGCATGTAAAATGATTTAATAAAGTATCTGTTCAGTGATTTTTATCCTATGTAAGCACTGTGCCTGAAAATCATTATGGTTTTATTATTTTCATGTTGTAGAGTGCTTCAGATGGTGTAATCCTGGCAGCAAAATGCAATAAATGTGGTCTTTCCATCTGGGAATGGGTGTAGCCCTGGTCCAAATGAGAAAACAATGCATGCACATTTGCCACTACTAATAGAAGTGCTAAAATCCAAGTGGTGTCCCTTCTCCCATTTCTAATAAATCTGTATACCTGTCATCCTTTAGTTGGCAGAAGTGTACAGTTAGAGGAAGGGAGGATCTGCAGAGCTCTTTGACGAGTGCTGGCTTAGAAAAACTGGGTTTGGACTTTATTATTATCTGTGCAGATACCACGGGAAAAGCTGAGTTGTTCTCATATTGCTCTATTTTTCTAAAGATTCACCAATTCTATTACAAGGGATGTGCAGACACAGAATGAATATCCTTAATTTCACATGTCATACTAGCCATTTTTGTGAGTGGAGTAATCCTCTTTGGGGATTATGTAAGCACTGATGTTTCCACCTTTTGACCTCTCCTTTCTGCTGCTGCAGTCCAGATATAAAATGACTGAAATAAAAGAAAAGGTTATTCCTAAGGGAGATTTTAATTTTTTTGTTCCTCCAACAAATGGTAATTGTATGCAGAATGAAATTTTTTTTTTTTACTTGAATTCTTTCAGGAAGAACTTTATGATGGACTGAAAGAGAGAAGAGTAAACTGTATAAAGATAAACAATGTTGCTATTAATATTAATAGCAATAGCAGTTGTGGACTTTTTCCAGTTAGCGTTATTTTAATGCCAGAAGAATCACAGACTCTATGAAGCACCCAGCCTACCAGGTGTGCTCACACACTGCTGAAGATACAGTCTCTTCTGGAAAAAAATACAATGCAATTGATACACTTGGGCAATTCTTTCCTAAGCTGTTTCACCCTTTTGGTTCCTCTGGTACAAAGATGTCTAATCCTCTTGGGTGGCCAAGAGAGAATATTTTTTAACACAGGCAGTGCTTAGCCAGTGCTATTACAGAGGGTAAGTGAGCAGATAAAAGGAAGCCTGAGTAATTTTTAAAAAAATAAAACGTTATGTAGGGGATTTAGATGAATGTCTACCGCTAGAATTAACAGACAATATGTGTCTAAATCCCCTAGACTGCTTTGGAGCATTTCAGGCACAAAAAGAAAGCAGTATGTATGTAGCTTTAAGGATTAATAGCTCAGAAAGGCTGAAAGTTTTCATTATTTCAAGGAGTATAGTTTCTCAGGGATACATACACATAAAATCAACACATGCACATGGTGAAACATAATCTGTAGGACAATTTTAGCACTGCTTCAGTTGCAGGAATTCCTTCTAAAGCCTAGTAAGTACTAACATAAAAGAAAAAAGTGGGACATACTGATATTTACAGATGATTTTTCTATGTCAAAATGAAATACTTAGGACTAAAGTCTTGACATATATTACCCATCTGCAAAGTAAAACTTGGGAGTTTTTTTATAATGACTAATTATTTGGTCAGTGCAATTATTATTCCACCAAGCACAGTCTGTAAAAAAACAGAAAAGGAGCCTCTGGGTGGCAAACACATTAAAAGATCCAAATGAAGGTTTATCAATAAAATATGATACTGATTTTGGTATAGGAGGAAGAAAATTTTTGATGCGAAAATTTAACCTGGCATAATCTATGACTGTGTATCTTGACTTTGGTGTATATTCTGGTTTTGAAAAAGATTGACAGCTTATATACAAAGCAGAACTCATTTTGGAAGAGACTATTTCAGATAAACATGGACATTTGTTCATCTCACTGTTCTGCATCAGGATGTCATCACTTAAGGAGGACACTGGTATTGGAATCTGAAGGAAAAGAACCATCTCTGTCATGGAAAATTATCTGCACAGATATATCTTTTTTGTTCATGTGCTTACTTGATGCATCTATGAAAAACAGGATTGGGCCTTCTGGAATAATATCTATGGAGACAGCCAATACGTAAGACTTTTGGAAAGACTGGACAAATTAACATTTTCCACATCACTGCCAGGGTGTCACATTGGCTAAGGTCCAGCTACTGCCCTGCACAATGACCTGTGACCCCTGTGACACCTCCTGACAGGGTTGGTGCCTGCCAGTAATGCACACTCCAGGCATAGTGCTGCTACCTGACAGCAGTGGGGCAGTTTGTTAGCCCATCTACCACCTTCTGCTGAGTTCAGCTGCTACATGGGACTGGAAGAGTTGCTGTTTTAGAGATGTCATTGCTTTCCAAAACATTTTAACCCATCAGATTATAACCATGGTAGTCTCATGATATCCCGAACATCCTGCAGGCAGAAGGAGCAACATGTGAAAAGCCTGGCCGTTGGGTTAGGCTTTGCTTCCTCTCATTGGCACTCTCTGATTTTGTTTTTCCAAGTAGGCTTTTTGTAATTATACTTGATGCAAACTTGAATATTAAAGCTGCTTAGAAATATGAAATAATAAAACTAGGGAAACACTTTCCTCATCAATCTTAGCTGGAGTTTTCCCTGAGCAATAAGGTTTGAGATATGCCTTTGGAAGCAGTGCAAACTCTTTATTTCCCATTAGGTATTAACTTTCACTGGGAGCTCTGTTATTTTGCTTTGCCACTTAATTTGTATTTAACTAAATTTGTGCAAAAATGTAGAATAAGAAAAAAGGAGACTTTCTGACTCTCTCAGTTATATTCTGAAGACACTTGCCTGCTTATTAATATGCTCTCCCACTATAACTCTTCAAACCAGAAGTTCTTTCTGCAACCTCATATAATTTTTTTCTTATTTTAATGCCTTGGATTGAAAAAAATACATAGTTTAAAATTACAAGAGTGATCCTGTAAAAGATGATCTTTTTATATGTAGTCTGGCATTAGTACTTCTTCTTAGATGGTGAAAATAAAAGTTGCAAGTTCTTTTTAGTTTTCACCTTGGTCAATTGGCTATTAACACATTAAATCTCCTGAACCTGTAAAAAGTTATATACAGAATGTCCTCAAGTGAACAGTGTCAAGCATCCAAGATTCTGTCCCTTCTGAATAAAATTACCCTCTCAGGAAGAAAGAAAATATTAGGATATCTGCTTGTTACTGTGTCTGTATGTATGTTTCTGACAGCTGAATTTAGGCTGATGTCAGTTTATCCACCAGACCTTACTGCAATATTGCAAGACCTGTTGCTCTGAACTCATAGAGTCACAGAAGATCTTAGGTTGGCAGGGACCTCTGGAGGTCATGTGGTCCAACCCCCTGCTTAAGCAAGGCCACCTAGAGGCAGTTGTCTGGGACCATGTCCAGATGGTCTTCTGAATTTCTCTAAGACTGGAGACTCTACAACCTCTCTGGGCAACCTGTGCCAATGCTCAGTCCCCTTCACAAGTGATAAAAAGCAATTCCTGTTGTTCTGCAAAAGTCCTGTGTTTCAGTTATTGGCCATTGCCTCTGGTCCTACATTACCTTTGCTATTACATGCAGCTGGTAACGCAGTGTTGTCACCACAAGTGGCATTTCCTTAGTTTTGTCAAACCCTTAAAAATAATTTCTTCATTCATATGAGCCTTTAAAAAAAATACTATCATTACTTACATAGGCAATACCTATCTTTTAAAACCAGGAAACAAGATATTTCTTCTGGCAACACAATGGCTTACATCGGAACAGACAGCACAGCTTCTCTGGGCCTTGCTTAGTCCCTTCTGTGCACTCAGTTTTCTGTCATGGTTGCTTTACAGACGTTTATGAACTCCCTCATCTGCTTTAATGACAGCATAGCCAACTTCCTTTTCCTCACTATTGCTGATACAGGCAA